TGCTCCGGCCTTAAACCGGGACCAGCAGCGAGACCCCCTGCGGCCCTGCTCTGGGTCGGCGGGATGGGCTTAACAATAAAATTACTTCGGGGCAGAACTTTTAATGGGGTATCTCTGTCGGGGTATGTGAAGGGTTGACTTGGGTTCTGTGTTGGGGTGGGGGTCGCTGGTACCGCAGTGTGTTCCTGCTGCGCTGCGTGGGGCACGTACCGCCTGAGCAGTGTGGGAGTAAAGGGCGAGTAGGTACCCCCGTACGACCTTGGTGCGTGGCTGTGAGGCTGGTACCTGCTGCTGCGATAAACGCCTGCCCTGGTTGCTGAGCACGTATCTGGGAAGGAATTGGTTCATCCAGCTTGACGCGATTTCTCCCGGAAGCAGCAGGTCCTGAGCAGAAATTGGGAGGAGAGGAGCGTCAGCTGCTGCTCATGTGGGAAGAGAGCAGCGAGGAATGTTGCTGGAGCTGGGCAAGTGCTTGGGAAGAACAGACCGAGGTTCTGGACGGCCCCGTCCTGAGAAAGCAGCGTAGGGAAAAGGTTCCTTGGTTTAAGAGAATTTAGGGCTTTATCTCTGAGTTCAGGTGTTAGCACAGGGTACCCTGGAGGAGGAGCCCTTCGTTTCTGCAGATCTGGCTGCTGTTGTGAGAGCGTGCCTCCTTAAATAATTAACTGGTAGTATGTTCATTTGTAATATCGATGAGCCTTCAGAAAACCAGACCTGATCCGCAGGTGTCAGCCTGTTGGTACGTGCTGGGGGGACGTCCTGTGTCGGCAGGACGTGGGGTGCAGACAGACCCGTGAAGGGCCTCGGTGGAACGTGGTGACGCACTTTACCAACCAAACCGCAGCTCAGAGTCTTGTGTCTCCCCTTTGGCTCTTTGTGGTTTTTTTTTTTTCCTTCAATAAGAGTAGAAGGGGTTTTTTGTTTGGTTGGGTGTGTTTTTTTCTAAATTTCATTTTAGAGAATAGATCTCTCTTGGCCAAAACGAGCTGTCATTGTCACGTGTAAGGTGGCTGCTGTCCTGGCGGACGGCCTCCCAGGTTGGTTGCCATTCAGGAGAAAAGCGAAGTGTAGCTCGTCAGCGTGACAGTAAGGCAGAAGTGTGGAGAACAGGAATTGAAGTAATTAGCATTAAGGAAAAAATTGGCAGAGAAAGCAACCAAATCAGCGGTTTCTTCATCTGCAGTAGGCCTGGGTGACAGTGTGGATCGTGCCCTTTAAAAAGCAATACAAGGGGATGTTTACAGAAGTGTAGACACAAGGGCTTTGTTTGCCCCTAATTGCAGATCTGCTGTGTGTGGGTAGATGCTGGTGTCAGGGAAGGGAGCAGTAAACAGCTGAAGAGCCCAAAACCTTCGGGCAGGCAGCAGCACGCAAGACCAAGCCTCCTATCCTCCACCTTCTGAAACCAGGCTTGTGCAAAACCATCCCGTGTGAAATCCTTTCCCACTCCCACCTAATGACCTTGTTTCCTCCTTCTTTCCTTCAAGCCGTGCCCAGGGTGCCGGTCCCGGTCGAGGCAGGAGATGGGGCTGTGTACACGCCTCTCCTGGCGCACGCTGAGCAGGCGGATGTGCTGGAGCGCCTTGACTTCGTGCTGAGGAACATTTCCGAGCTCAGAAAGGAGGTGGAGGAGCTACGGAACAGCCTGCAGCACTTGGCTGCAGAAATCGTTGGCGGAGTCAGGTAGCGGCCCTGCCCCTTCGGTCTCTTTCTACGCGTGCAGGTGTTTATACCCTGTTGCGTGGTGAAGCAGCCGTGATGACGGTGAATTTAAAATCCCAGAGTGGAGAAAGCGTCTCTGTAGTTCCCACTAGCTTTACGTCCTCGCCTCTAGTGAGATTAGCGTGAAAGACATGGTACGTTTAGCCAGGGTGGGCTTTCCTCGTAGGGAGCATCACGTAGTGACTTGCTTCGTGCTCCAGACTGGGAAGGGTATCCGTTCTGTACACGTTTGTCTCTTGTTACTGCTGTTTCCTCTCCGGTTGCTGCTGGCTCTGGGTCAGTCTTGACGCAGAATAAAAGGTTCTGTGTGCTGCAGGAGGGTTTGGGATTCCTTTCTCTGTGTTCGTTGAGGAAATCGGAGGGATGCGTGTGATGCCGTTACCCCTCTCAGCGTGGATTGCACGTGTGGGCTGTGCGTGGGCCGTGGGGTGTCAGACTTGCTTTAAGTGTGGAAGGTGACGTTTGGGGTGTGGCAGCGGGATGGCCCTACGAGCAATAGGGAGTCACCCGGTGCCACCTTTGGTCGTAAAGCGAATCCGGTGGGCTCTGCTGGAGAGGAGCAGGGAAGTGAAATAACAGACGTTTGGCTACTAAATGTGCATTTCATTCTCTTCCTGCCTTCCTCAAAGGTCCCATCTGGAAGAAACCCAGAAAGCAACTCGCCGGAGGCGATTCCCATTTCCTAGAGAAAGGAGTGATTCCACAGGCTCCAGTTCAATTTACTTCACAGCCAGCTCAGGGGCAGCCAATACGGACGATGGAGAAAGCGAAGGAGGGTAAGTGGAGCACCAGGGCAGAAGCAGTTGAAGGGCATTGGTGCCCGATTACTTTCCTTGGCGCAGTTTGTAGCGTGATGGGAGGCATTTTTTCCCCACTGTGTGTCTGTCATCCTGGTATTTTGCTTTTATTACAGTAAGGCTACTACTGCCAGGGCCGGATGGAGAGAAGTGCAATGATTCCGACTTGTAGAGAAAGGGGGGAAAGAAAAAAATGTGTATATGCTTTTTGAAGGGTTTTTCAAGTGACAGTTTCCTTAGGAAACCTTGCAGGAATATGGGAAGTGGATGTCTAGCCTCGCACGTGGATGAGAGAGTTTGTCAATTATATTTCCACACAATAATATATTTTAGAATGTCTGGAAAACTTGAGGAAGTTAAAAATATTCCAATTAATTAAAATGTCTTTGGCTAGGGCACTTCTGGTGGCTCTTTCTCAGTGTGTCACACTGAGCTGCGTCCCTTAATGTCTTCCAGTTTGAAACCAGGGGAAGAGTGCTGTGTTGTTGAAGAACGTGGGTGCAGACTACAGTATGGGCACAAGTACTGTCATATTGTAGAATCACAGAATGGTTTGGGTTGGAAGGGACCTTAAAGATCATCTAGTTCCAACCCCCCTGCCCTGGGCAGGGACACCTTCCATAGCCCAGGGTCCTCCAAGCCTCATCCAGCCTGGCCTTGGACACTCCCAGGCATGGGGCATCCACAGCTTCTCTGGGAACCTTCCCCCTGCCATGGGCAGGGACACCTTCCATAGCCCAGGGTCCTCCAAGCCTCATCCAGCCTGGCCTTGGACACTCCCAGGGAGGGGGCATCCGGTCTCTGCTTCTGTGTTAAGTACAGCCGTGAGAACAAGGCAGGCCGAGCTTGGCCACGACGTGCTACATGGTGACCAGCCTGCTGCTGCCAACTGACACTTGGTAGCGTGGGTTTGGAACTCGGGGACAGTTCCTGCAGCAGCCTCCGAGAGCAAAGGGCACGGAGCGGCAGGAAGCTTGGCCACGACGTGCTGCATGGTGACCAGCCTGCTGCCGCCAACTGACACTTGGTAGCGCGGGTTTGGAACTCGGGGACAGTTTCTGCAGCAGCCTCTGAGAGCAAAGGGCACGGAGCGGCAGGAAGACGGGCTTTGTGACTAATGCCAAACCCTGTCATTTCAGCATTCTACCTGTAGTAGCTGGAGTTGGTGAAGCAGGGAAGAGCTGACGTGACCTCATCCAGGCTCCTGAGCGGCTTCATTCGTCTGAAGTGGGTGTTTGTACGAAGCAGAATCAGGGAATTGGTGACTCACGATGGTGTCGTGGGTAACAAGGCTGCGTAACGGGTTTGAAAACCCTGTAGTTGGTTCTGAAAACAAGACCCTGCTGTATAGATAATAACAGATGCATTGAGTCGTCAGGGTGCCAGTGTGTTTTCAGCCAGTGCTGACAGGACGGTCTTACTTGACAGATCGTTAGGCAGTTTGAGTTGTGACAGTTCTGAGGTTCCGAGAAGACATCCTCCTTAGGGATGCTACTGCAAAGCCTCGTTGCTTTATTGGGAACCTGGTGGTGGTTGGAGGAGCTTACATTCTGTTTAAAATCCGTAGGTTTTGTGGCTGGTGGGGAGAATGAGTGGACAAGCAGCTCTCATCTGATCTAAAGCATCTGAGTCGTGTGTAATTCCTCGCTCTGGTGTTTGTCCTGTACAGGCAGGTGTGACGTTAGTCTGGCCAGGACCAGCTGCCTTCAGTACCAGTGTTGTCTTTTAGAGATGCAAACACTGACGGTTTTCTGGTAGAAAATTAGGGTAGGAAATGTAAATTTTGGAAAGGGTTATTTTTAGCAGCCACTGGGAGGAAGAATGAGACCGTTCTTAACAGACAAACCTCAGCTGTGTCCTCGTTTCTGGCAGTGGTATTTTCCTAACGATATTCAGAAAGAACTGGCGTTTTGGCTTTGTTTTGGAAACCACACAGACATGAGCATCTTCTCCGATTTCAAACACAGCTCACAAAAGTCATCACGGGCTTCCAGGAGCCCAGAGGTCTTGGGCTGCTTCGTTTTCCTGGGATTGCTTTGGTGCTGCCTGGGGTGTTTGTGTTTCTTCTCCTCCTCCCATCTGCTGCTTTGTTCCAGGTAGCTGTGTCCATTGTGTTTCAGGATGTGTGTGCGCCGAGCCTCAGCATAAGAAAGCACTGAAGAACTTTCCATCATTGAAAGCAGGCTGATAACATCAAAATCCCTTAATCTTTCTGAAAACGCCTGAGTTGATGGGGTTACAGAGGGTATTACTTGTCTCCTTAACTGGCAGCTTCTTGTACAAGCTGTCTGGGAGAAAGCACCCTTGCTGCAGCGGAGGGAGAATGCGCACAGGAGTCACCCGCCGCTGCCTGGTCTTAAAGACCTTGTTGTGTTTCCGGAGCCTTCGCTGTGGGAAGTGTTTTTCAGCCGAAGCACTGAAATCTCTGCAGCTGCCAGCAGAACGCTGCAGCGAGACGGTAGCACGGCTGCGTCGCCCACCACCGCGCTGCGCGGCAGGTTGGGAGGGGAAGTTAGGGAGTTTGTGTTTCAGTGCCAAACGTGACGCAGGCTGGAGAGCTAATAATACCCTTAAACTTAAGGAAATACCAAAAAATGAAGGTTTTAACCTGAAACGAAGCCGTGGCCGTGTCACCTGCCACCGTGTTGCTACATTTTCCATTGACCTGCGTGGTCTCCGGTGCATCTGCTGGCAGCGCTTGCTTTCCTGCCATCACAGTGCTAAGGCTGACTCTTCCTTTCTTTCTCGTCTCAAAACGTGGTGGTACAAAGTGGTGTGTTTTGAAGTTGATGGATGAGCGCCGGAGGCTGTGGCGGGTGAGGATGTTTGTTTACCCTCTACCCGAGAGGGAAATGCTTGAGCGTTACTGACGCTTCTCAGAAAACTGAAGCCTGGGGAGCCAGCCGTGGCTGGCTGTGAGCTGTGGCCGAACGGCTGTAGCTGCTTTGGCCAGATACAGGCTTTGGTGGCCTATCTGTCTGCAGACAAAGGCGGCTTCGCGGGCAGAGTGCCGGGCCCTCCCTCCCAGGGGAAGTCAGCCAGGACAAAAGGGAGCGCAGCTCTAGTTCCCCGCTGCCCCCAGGCTGCGCTGGCTTCTCGCTGGGGCGGGTCAGCCCATGGCTTGGGCACAGCTTAATTGGGTAACAATTAGAGGGGTTAAGTGTTGATGTGATTCGCAGTAGGTTGCCTCGGGAAGAGAGCCTACTGTTCAGATGGACAGCAGAATGAAGCTAGAAAAGAGCACGTTCTTACGCTGCTGGCTGACCTGCGCTGCCTCTTCCATGGAGAGCTTGGGGGGAGATGTGAGTGGGACAACAGGCTGATTAAAAAGAAGTTAATTGTGTCAGTGGACAGTGGTGTCGCCCCACACATAGCACTGCTTCAGATTTCCAGCTTGGGTGCCTGCGTGTGCCTGGGGAGCTCAGTTTTAGCCTTTTGCAGACGCTTGGATCGAAACCTGATCCTGGTTCGTTTGGCTCATTTAGCAGGTAACCGTTGCCTGGGTCCTGTACACAGGGTGTCCTGCGGCTCGTCTGCTGCCCCCTTGCTCAAGGATCGCTCTCCTGACGGTTTGCACCTTATCACATTGGTGTGAACGAGCTGTTTTGCGCTTAGCACTCGGACGAGATGGTGGGGTACCAGAGATTGCCAAAACAGCCTGTCCCAGGAAATTTCAGACCCCGTAGCTGAAAACCTCAGGTTGTAATTTCCACATGGCTGAGCGTGTTAGACTTCTTGTTGCAATTCTGTTTTATAATCCATACGCATAACCAAATTGTCCTGGCTCTGTTTTCAGGTGTTTAATTCTCTTACGCTGAATTAGAAAGCCTAAGAGAAGCTGCTTCGGGGTGCACGTGAAGTGTGGACACTTGTGACTGAGTTCTGCTTAACTTTTGGGGGACCTGCTTTCTGAGGTTACATGAGAAATAGGGGTCGGCGTGTTGCTCGAGACACGGTGTTCTCCAGGAACACCTGGAAGAGTTGATTTGTCCATGCCGTGTGTGTGAAGCTGTCGGAGGCTGCGCAGCAACTCCTCAGACTGACTGTGGGTTGCGGTGGTGGTGTTTTTCCTCAGGTACAGCACAGCTAACGCGGAGTCTGACTACGACCGGGAGTCCGAGAGAGAGAGCGCGGAAGAGGAAGATGAAGTGAGCTGTGAAACAGTGAGAACTGCGCGTCGGGATTCCCTGGATCTCGTCAACGAGGACGAGGGGCTTTTAGCCGTGGATTCCCTGCTGACGGAAGGACTGGGACATCTGCTGCAGCAGGCTGACCGCCTGCATGACGGAGATGAGCAGGAGAAGAGAGAGGGATTCCAGCTGCTGCTGAATAACAAACTGGCGGTAAAGGTTGCCTTTCTATATTTTCCAGCAGTGATTTGGGTTTTCAGCTAAATAGCTGGGAAAGAGGAAATTGTGTCTGTTAGCAGGGTCCGGGGTCTGCACCACAACTGGGCCAGGTTCCAGCAGCCCCCTTTCTCAGGAGCAGCTTGGGAGCGGGGCTGCAGGCCAAAACCATTCAGGCTACAGCAGCAACCGGTTCCCGGTCGCTTTCTGTCTTGGAACTCTGCATCTCATCATGTCATCACTTTCCCCAGGTGGACACGCTGTACATGTGTAACATAACAGCACTGTCTGCATACCGTACACCCAGCAAACGCTGCGAGAGCGTTCACCTCGTTGCACGTGCAGCAGCTTGAGCGGTATTCAGGAGACTTGGTCTTGAGGACCTCCCAGTGCGTGTGCGTGGTGGGTCATGGAATAAATAGGTGGTGTATTCAAACAGAAGGCTTAGCTAACACGTGTATATTAGTTAATGTGACTCAAAACCTGGGTGATGCTGTGGTTTTGTCACCTGTTTTTTTTATATCATGTGATAGGAATGTGTTTTTTTATATCTTACAGTGATGTAATGTGACAACGTTATGTGTGTGATGTGGCTCGATCCCCTGGTTCAGTGCACGATGGCGCTGCTGTTGAGGTGTGGGAACACAGCGATAGCTTTACTTTAGCTGTTGCAGTTCATGGAATCACGGAACAGTTTGGGTTGGTCAGGACATTAAAGCCCCCCCAGTGCCACCCCCTGCCATGGGCAGGGACACCTTCCATAGCCCAGGGGGATAC